CCATCTCATCAAAAGAAAATAATGTGATGTTATCGGCATTGCCGCAAGATAGAACGCATCAATTATTTTATAAGATTTCCATTTCCTTCGCTCGAGGACCATTATATCTGATGGGGTAGTGGCTTTATAAGATTTAAGAACGTTTAATCAGCAAATACGCGCACGCGAATAAACCTCAAGTAGATTCCAAAGAGTCAGATTTGTATTTTCCTACGTACCGATAATCTAAACATTGGAATTCTCTCTTTCCTGTCTTTATTCTTTTTCTCCTTCATTCTCTCTAAATCTTAAACTGATATCCAATCAGATTCGATTGAAGGAGATTCCATTCATTTAGTATCTTTTTGTAATAAAGTTTTTGCATGTAATGACATGTATATAAGGAAATGTATATAAGGTATAAATAATATTTCTTTTTGACAGAAAAAGAAAGAAAGAGAGAGAAAGGAAGAGAAAATGCTTTATCTATTTAGTCCGCAAAACACTGCCTTCCGAAAATGACTTTCTTATTTCAAGTTTATAAAAAATGACTACGTTTGTATAAAGTTACATTTGAATGGAATGAATAAATTCTATCGAATGTAAATAAAATTCTACTAACAAAATCCTACAGAGATCTTCAAAGTAATTTCTTTCCTGGTTTTTTTCTAACAACACGCGTTTGATATGTACGAATCTCTCTACCATATTGTCAGATCAAAAACCTGTTTATCACGTCAGATGAGATTTTTGAATTACGCGATTACGGATAAGAAATGTTTTTCCTTTTGAGCGAATCTCGTCTCCTCCGATATCTCTCCGAGATATCAAAATCCATGCAGGCACCAAAAGTCTTGAGGTGACTCTACGCGGTTAATAATACTGTCAGTATTAACAAATACTAACAATATTACTATTGTGCGTTAATATTGATGGATTGACATGGAATACTGGTGGTGATCTGAATTTTGATTCTCGATCAATATCACTTTAAAATTTACACTATATTATTATTATTATTATTATTATTATTATTATTATTATTATTATTACAATTATTATTATTATTATATTCACAGTGCAATAGATAATGTACATAAAATAAAAATACATCGTCAATAATACTGATCGTGTATAGATTGTAAAAATATTGGTACTGTCAGTATTACTGATCAGCATTATTGATCGTCTAGATCGCCTTCGGATAGCGAGTTTTTAGGGTTTAGAAGAGCGATGCGGAACACAATGTGCTGTGTATCGGTAAATAGCCATTTGTCCATTACACAGCACTTGATGCTCCACATCGTGTCTTCGTGCTTCTGGATTATTTACGAGGCGGATGAGACCTGACTCTTGTAACATTCTGCAGACTCGGATTGCGAGGAACTGTCCATTATTCAACAGGATGGCCTGTTTCAAAATATCTCTTCGTTGACGGATTACTTAATTCATATATTTCATAGAACATTCATCGACAACGGATATGACATATTTTGATTGGTGTTTGAACGAAGCATAATCGTTGATCGATTAATTTTTCATCAATAACTATTTATGAACTCTTAAAATTCAAGTAATGTAGGAAATTAGGCAAATAAGAGTTCGGTGCGATGCACTTAATGCACAATCATTGATATTATATGTATATATAAATTGTATAAATTATATTCTTAACTTGCTGTATACTCGAACGTTTCGATCACTTCTTGGGGTCATCTTCGGCGAGATCAACGAAGAAAAAAAATATAATAAAGTTTTCACCTTCCTGCGTACCAAACTTTATTATATTTCTTTTTTTTCGTTGATCTCGCTGAGAATGACCCTAAGTGGTCGAAACATTCGAATGTACAGCAAGTGAAGAATATAATTTATATATACATATAATCAATGATTGTGCATCAAGTACCGCACCGAACTTTTATTTGCTTAATTTCCTACATTATTTTTATTTTTCATCGTTGATTTCGCTGTACAAAAATTAAAAAGTATTAATTTTTAAATGAGTAGGATGGCCACAATATCTCGGATTTGTTAAAGAATTTCTTAAAATTGTAAATATTACACAACAACTTGGAATAAAGCTTTTAACAATCAAACTAGATCTTAGATGCTTAATTCAGTGTGAATTTATACACCATATGAGTAATTATTTAAATTTCATACATGGTTTTCTTTAAATCTTTGTTCTGGAAAAAGGAAATAAAAAGTATTGCCCAGATGTCTAGAAGTCTTAAAATTTATTATTTTTACATTTCTCTATCTTATAAGGGTATAATTAATGTAAATTTAATTATAACATAACCAACACACAATATATAATCATAAAGTTAAAATTCTTTTGAAGTGTTCTGAGTATACTACCTATCAACTTGCGAATCTTTAAACTATCTACACTGAGAAAAAAGTCAAAACATTCACAAGCAAATGTTACATGTTCCGTTTTCTTCAATATTTATTGGTTATAAAAAATTTGGCTGTTACTCTCCGTATTTCAATAAAGATTTCATTATAAATGTTATATCCTACAAATAAATTTTTAAGTACCATTATCTCAATGTAACCTGCTTAAAGATTAAAAGGGATTAATAAGCATTTAAAATTGTATTTGTTTTTGTTAATCAATAAATATTAATTATTAATGTATGTCAGAGTATTCGTTGACTGTCAAGCTGTTAATAACTTAACAATAATTCATGATTAATGAAGAGCATTGTTTTTACAATGTTCATTCGGATTTCAATACTGATGAGAATAATTACAAAATTTTTATTTGCTTCAACAGCGAATAAATAACTGTTGCACATCATTAGTAATATCATGAATATATTCTGCATGATGTTACACACCTTTTATTACGCTTGCATTACGCTCAGTCAATTGGGATCTCGTGTCGCTTTTCCAATTTTCCACAAGGTGAGTGCAGCCGACAGCGACATAACATGATTATTATACAAAAGCGATACGCTATTGGAGATAAAATAAAATTGAAATTTCCATTGTATTGAGTTTCCCAGATTTAACGAGTCTATTGTAAGCTTCCCCTTTCTTTATTTGATAATTTTATTAGCGCAGTATTGTTTAATGCAAAGTAATTATATTTTTTTGTCGTTTTCAATAAATTACACGGTTTTTATAATTACACGGATTTTTCTACTGTCCATGACAAAAAAAGATAGGTTATCATTCAAATGCCGTGCTTCCATCTTTCATTGTTTCCAGAAATCGTTTCCACCTTCTTTCCCAAACTCGTCAGTAGTAACCACCGTTGCAGTCAGACGAAGGTAGTAGTTTACCCACGTTCGATCAGACAGTTATCCAATTCGCCATTCTCCGCTAAAGCAAAGGCGTGACATATATTTCTTAAAAATAGCTATATTTTTTTATATTATGTACTTAAATTATATAAGACAAAAATCTTGTAACACAAATTTTATATGCAAAACTTTTTATTTTTCCATTTCTTTGTCCTCGTCTTATCTTAATACAGTTTTTAAACAATATTAAGTGAATAGTTTTTATCTCTTATTCCTAATAAAAACTTATTCATAGTAAATAGTTTTTATTATTATGGTTGTAAAAGGAATGTGAAAGATTTTTAACTTACAAAAAATAAAAGATTTTACTAAAATAGATAAAAAAAAAATAATCGATAATATATATTTATTTTCATACATCACATGTCATATTTTAATGTGCAATGATTTATTCGATTCGTATCGACGTTAAGCGTTTAAAATAAACTGGATTACCCAGTTCTTAAAATAAGCTGATATTGATGAGTTACATATGTATTCATGATAAGCATCATCCCACACAGAACTATCGCTGACGTACATATAATAACCTTGTGCAAAAATTCATTTAGCAGTCTTCAAAAAGGACTTTAAAATTAAACGAGAAAATAGATAAAAATATAAATAAACAGTAATTCTTATTTTCATATATATCGTGTTTTAGCTTGATGTGTAATAAATTATTCAATTCGTGTCGACATTTAAATTAAATTACTCCGTTCTCGGATGATATTTTTATTGGAAAGCAGAATATTACGCAGTATTATTTCGATTCTGCGACATTCGCTCAAAGTACTTTAACTCGCGACGTAAAATGAATTACGTCGTAAAATGTAAGAGCAGCGTCTTGTAATACTTGTTCAAGATAGGATGATACAACATGATTCTGACTACTCTGACAAAGTTTTCAATGCTCTTCAGCAACATCCTTGGTTCTTTCGTCTTTGCTACTTTTACGTGTCAAGGTTCATATTCTGATCCATATCTCATTCCCTTGGCTATCTCTCGATCTATCCTTCGTCTCTTTGCGATGCATCATCGCGCAGCAACAGTATAGGGGTAGTGCGTATTCACGTTTTAGCGACCGACTTAACCACTAGAGTACGCGCAGGCGTTACGCTGTCGTCGCCGGGCGGGAGAACGGGGAACGCTTGGGGATACGACGAAATCCTGGCAAATCAATACGGCAATGTCCGCCGGTAACCAGGCAGTCGGGGCTCATCCTTTGCGAGTAACGTGTCGGAAGTCCATGCGCACGCTCAGTTATATCGGCAATACTGATTAGAACAGTCCATTGAATCAGTCATCTTCGTCTTCTTCATTGTCGCTGTGCAAACGCATCGATTCCTCTTATTTCCGCCTAAGCTTTGAATCAGCTTCACAAAGTGAAGTGTGCTAGTTGGAAGAAGAACGGTGGTACCGTTATATTTGAAGAAAACAGCTAACAGCTCTCTTGGGTAACTGACCTTGTGCAACAGCACGAACAGTTCAGCTCTTGAGAAAAGGAGCTACTCGAGCAATTTTGTGACGAGGATCTTATAAACTGAAGTTACCTGCAACAACTTCTCATTTAGAGAGAAGAGATAGATACGCATATTTCGGAGCACACGAGTCGTTTAGGATCATTTTACATTCGTCATAGAAGATACTACGCATATATCAGAGAAGTTAGATAAAGAGAAGTCGGGTGGAGATTAGACGGTCTCGCGAGCTCTAGCAGAGTCACTGATTGTTATTAGTTATTATCAACGTCACTAGGAAGATAGTCCGATCCTATCCCGGTACCACGATCGAATTAGTAGGCATTCGCCAAGCCGCCAGGCTACTACGACGTCTGGTAGGCGCGAGTGATTGGTCCTTCTGCACGGATTTACCGAAACACCCCCAAAACGGCAACCCGTCGTCGTCGTGGTGCTGCCGGGGCCCCGCCGTTAGCCGCGAGAGATCGCGAGAAGGGAGTTTGGGGAGATCGGCGGGAGGATCGGCCTGTTCGTACACGACCAGCACCGGTCACTGGTACGCCGCTTGCTGGCGGCCCAGTGAGATGGAAGAAAAGTCCTCTGCCCGATTCTCCGAATATCTGTTCGCCAAGATGGGCGGGCAGGACGTCTCGGCCTCTCAGGGTCCCCGCAAGGTGACCGCCGACACCAGAAAGTGGATGCGAGAGAACCTGCTACTCTTGGTCACCTTGTCCGGCGTATTCTTTGGCGTAATTCTCGGTAAGTGACGGTTTATTTCTTTTTATTATATTATAATATTAACACGATGAATTAAAGCATTTAAAAAGCTGTAGTTTTAAAATATTTTTTCAAAGAAGCTGTTTTATTTAGAAAAGAAAAGAAAACTTTTTCGTTTAATTTTTAATTTTTCTTTAATTTCAATATATATGCCATACATGTAAATATTAAAAGAAACAGTTAAATAAAACAATATTAAGTAAAATTATTATTATTATTATTTCAGGATAATTAATAATACTTGATAATAATTTTGAATTATTTTGTACAATTTGACTGTTGTTTGCAGGCGTTGTTGATGTTGAAAGACACAATAAATAATACAGAAATTAAATAGAAAATAACTTGCACGGTAGAATATTTATTGTATATCGCAATCGTTAGTCGCGTTTCAATATTCCATCTCTTTACATCAGCTATAAATTATGACCACCATTTACAATGGTTATCATATACATGATCTTTTTAATAGTTCTATGTATGGAACTAACTCCATATTATTTAGATTTTAATCTTATTCAACCCAACAGCAACTCTTTTCAGTCAGCAATTCTTTTATCACATCAAAAAATCTTAATGTCTCTTTTTCGCTCATATAAAGATCTTATAATAATAAACTTATGCAAATATTATAAACGACCGAAAAGCTAAATTAATCCCTTTAACAAAAACTTTTTATTTCGTAATATAAACACACACATATAATCATAATAAATACCTGTGACGTGTCGAATGTTTATAGAAAGTTTACGTCAGCGGTAATACAATACGCTTTATGTTTACAAGTGAGCTTTTCGCATAGATCAATTTTACATGTATATCTCGAACGACCTAGTTCGAAATTATCATTTCGATTTCGTAAAAATAAGCAATACCTTTTATCTCGTTAAATCTCTTCGAGATAAAGGGTTTCCTTTAATAAATTTAATCATATTGATTCCTCTTGGTACCAATATAATAAGGACTATGTTTTCGTGTTTATAACACAGTAAATCATGTACAGCTATCGTGAATATATCATTTGTTTATCTGGGAATTAATAAAACGTTGAATCATATTTAATTAAGTGAGGATTGATTTTATTAGTCAGTTGTACAGTATTATAGAATTGAAATGATTTATTTAATTATAACTGAAATGTAATACGAAGTACGTTTTTATGAAATCATTAAATTACTTAATAACTCTGTACATTTGATGTAAACACACATAAGCATTAACGATTAGTAAAAGTATTAATAAAACAATCAATATACAAATGGGTGTTACATCTACACAAAATTTTATTTCTAACTTGATTCAGTATCTGATGGGCGAACGTATAACATTCATACTTGTCTATAAGTAGAAACATTGATGGTATTGTAATAATTTATATGATGCCGCTCGATAGATCAGTCTAAATCAAAGCTCTCATTTATATTCCTTTTTTAAAGATGTAGAATTCAAGGTTACACTGTTAGTCCTCACATTGTTAATTTTTCTATCTATTTTTTAATACAAGTATTGAAGAGGTAATCCATTATTTGTATAATCACCTATTTCGATGAATGATTCATTTGAGAAAACATTATGCTTGATACTTTATGGCCTTTATGAGGACGTAGATAGCTTATACAACTAATTACCATTAGGTAAAAAAGAAATTGTTCAAACCTTCACCTTTTCGCCAACCGCGACGCCCCTTCTTCGCAATCGAATAATAAACCAATTGATCGTAATAAATTTAAATATAGTTCAAGGACAAGCATCCGTAAAAGTTCTTAAGAGTTTTATACGAGCAAATGAAAAAATAAAGTTTTCGTGCAGAATCGCGGATTAATCTGATAATATCTCGTCACAGGGTTTGGTTTGCGACCTCTGGACCTTGGAGACGATGCGGTGATGCTGATCAGTTATCCGGGAGAGCTTTTTATGAGATTGCTAAAGTTAATGATTTTACCTCTTGTAATCGCCAGCCTCATATCAGGTGAGCTTTTTCTCTCAGCTTGCTTCATGTACACGATAAAGTGTACATCGAATCGTAATCATTTTTATGTATCAGGCTCAGCGAGCTTAAACGCCAGGATGAACGGAATGATTGCCGTTCGAACTTTGGTGTACTTCATACTAACGTCCTTACTCAATGCTGTGCTTGGCGTAGCTCTAGTACTCGTTATTCATCCCGGTAATCCCGGCATCAGGGAATCGATTGGCCATTCGCATCATGCGAGAGCCGTTAACATATTAGACAGCCTGCTCGATCTGGGAAGGTAAATTATGTCTACGATGTCTCTCATCGCCCGATATCGATTCTGTCAATATCAATAATGCATATAGACTCACTTGGAAGTCTTCCCAAAAAAAAAAAAAAACTGAAGTGCAATGAAGTATGAAGGTCAATATAGATATATATGAAACGGTAGGAAAATAATGTTAATCAATTCCGATTTGTTTTCTTTTAAATTGCATTTAAGCGTCTCGCTGAATTTGTTAACTATCGTAGCTTTCAAATCGCCAACAAAAATAGGTCGCTTCCGTTGCGGTACTCCACTGCGAAAACTTTGAGAAATGTGTACACGATGATAACGCGACATTGAAATAATATCGATCTGTGATACTCTCGTCGTCGCTGAATCATTGTGGTAATATAGTTATCTAAGTCGGATTAAGGTCGTGGCATTTCACGAATCGTGAATTCAACTAAATGAAATTCATCGTGATCGCAGATACTACTCGTCTAGATGAAAATAGTTTATTGATCGTACGTGTTTTATTCACGCTAGACGCGCTCAAAAAAATCGCGCAACGTCCAGCGCGATTCTTCAACCTGGTATTAAAATCGAGATATCGCGGCTCGATTATCGGAAATCATTTAACAATTGTTCGCTTCAGTGACGCAATGTAAGATCGTTTTTATTGAAAAGTCGCCATAGCAGCTTGCGCCACGACTTAATCAATGTGTAAGAGCTATGAATAAAACGAAGGCCGCGGGAATGGCGTTATTTTTAAAATATACAGCCCTTTCTCATGTAACACGCGAAGATTCTGCCTAGACCTTATTTAATGTATTCAATCTAATATTTGAAATATATACGATTTTGAATTAATGTTTTCGCAGGAACATGTTTCCGGACAATTTGTTTCAAGCAGCTTTCCAACAAGTAAGGATATTCCGATTCTTACGATATAAAAATGAAACGAAAAGAACTTGATATTGAATAATGACGTTGTTACAGGCGCACACAGTGTATGTCCCGAAAAAGCAACCTTTCCAGAATATCACCGATCAGTTACCAACGGCAGTCTTGGGGGATGAGGAATTGATGAGAGTGGTACAGTACAGAAGCGGCACGAACACTCTGGGTATAGTTTTCTTTTGCTTAGTCTTTGGTACGTTCCTGGGAACACTCGGCGAGAAAGGTCAGGTCGTTATAGATTTCTTCAAGGCTGTGTTCGAAGTCATCATGCGAATGGTCTCAACTGTTATGTGGTTAGTGTCATGAAAATTGGAAATAATTTTATGTCGTTTTATAATGGAATACAAATATTTGGCTTCCAGGATGACACCCATCGGCATCACCTCTGTAATAGCGGGCAAAATACTTGGCGTGGACGATCTGGTACTAGTAATGTCGCAGCTGGCGTGGTTCATCGTGACGATCGCGATCGGTGTGTTTCTCTATCAGCTGGTGATCATGCAGCTGATATATGCGGCCTTCGTTAGAAAGAATCCCTTTAAATTCTACGCCGGCCTGGCCCAGGGTACCCTCACCGCCTTCGCCATGGCATCAACGTGAGTCGTCGATCTTCGAACCCGAGCCCGACCTTGAGAGATTCCATTTCGCCTGCCTCACAGGGCCTCGGTCAACGTTGTGATCGTATTTTCTGACCTCGTAGCCTCCGTTCCTCACCGGTTATCTTTCGCAGATATTCTGTATTTCCTTCCTTCCATCCTTTTATTTCTTGTCACGCGGACCTTTTCTATGTTTACGCGAAATGGAGCTGGTCTGTCGCGCGATTGATATAGTGCGAGTAATTAATTTCAAAACATTTTAACGCCATAAAAGAAAATAGACAATGAGTGATACGTGGCGATGAAAGACGTGTATTGATCGAATCAATTGATGAAGACAATATGTTTCAGCCAGCTGTGTGGAGGCTTTGCGAGGCCACAATCCCGATATTCCTTTCCAAACCATTCGAGCCAGCTTTACATAACTTTCAGAAAAATTGCTTCATATAATCCTCTTGCTTAGTTTCTATATAAAAACGTTGTGGAAGAGCTGGCCAATTTCCAAATTATCCTTGTTAGTCTTTCTTCCATATATGACAATCTCTTTTAATGTTTGCTTGCGAGGAGAGCTCGCCATGCCACATGAGAAAGAGAAAAAGAGGGAAAGAGGTATGCAGTTCCGGGTAGCACTTAGAATGCTGATACTACCGGTTCCCGACTACCAAATCATACGAACTTCCGCAAGCTCGTAGCCAGATTGTTACGCAAAACGGAATTTCGTCGTCGCGTAAAATATAACATATTATTGCGACAAATGAAAAATTACGGGGTTACTTTCAAAATCCAGTAACGTTATCGCGAAAAGTGAAACTACTCGGCAACGATGTTGCCCAAACCGGCGATCTGCTGACTCCGTGTTACCTGGACTGATTCGCGGTGTGGAAGTCTTCTAAGGATTCCCATAATCGATCTCTTCGAACTTTTCTCTCGCGATGGCGAGGAAAGGGAAGAAGAAACCGAACCAAAGGAGACCTCCACGCCAAACCATACGATTAATTTTAAGTCGTTTTTAAAAATGAATTGGCGTAACTGAAAAAATATTGGTTGCTTGTGCCGAGCTCGCTCTTGCAGGTACGACGAGGACGTCGATGACCGGCTGTACTCCTGAACAACGTGCGATTATTTATCTCTCTTGAATAATTCATTTTTGAGAGTCACGCAAAGCAACGATCATTTTTTCAGTTCGCACTTACGAATCAAATTCAGTTTGCACCTCTGAAATCCTTCCTTTCTTTCTTTCAGTCCAACATACGTCTAATTCTAATACGAAATGAATTATCCTGTTACCATTCCAATTATTCCTATTTCCATTTTCCTACTTGTTGTCACTATTGTTTCCTCCCCCTTTCCCATCTGTATTATTACTTTTAGCAGTGCTCAATATTGTTTATGATCCAGCTAGGTTTTATACAGTTGTTATCTAACTCAATCTGTTTCTCTGTGGATTAACTGTTTCCAGAAGAGAGCGTACACAACTGTGCGTACACTGTGACTGACTGAGAAACTGTTCTCAGTGTATCTGAACAGAGACTGTATGAATATCATGATGATGTATTAGAACACGCACTGCACGCGGCCTTTTGCAGGTGGTTGACTCTGAGAGACAGAGGGTAGCGCTTGGTAAGTAATTGATGGCCGCAACATGAAGGTACATACGGTTGTCTGTTGTAGAATCCATGTGGTGGGCGATGCGGTCTGGCGGATATCCTGACAAATTGTGATCTAAGCTAATCCCGGTTGATTTTCAGGTTGTTCTCACGGTCATTCTGGCAGTTGTTCTGGCACTCTTTCTACTATTCGCAGTTAATAATGCATCGATATTAATTCCGAGTATTCCTCCGAGTATTCGTTCGGATACCATTTTTCTGTGATCCTTTTATATATCCGTTTTATTTCAACTCAAACCTTGATCGGTTACGTCTCTAAGAAACTATCGATAAATAAACCATCGCTGTATCTGTCCCGTGAATTTACGCCAGAATGACCATCACGACTGCAGCGACAGGCAACGTGGAGCGAATCTTTCTACCATCAACGGAAATGTGCTTTGCCCGATTTTTGCTAATGCAGCTTTGTACAGGGCTGCCGCACTTCCTGTGACTTTTCGTCTGATGACCGAGAAGCTCAAAGTCGACCCTAGAGTCACCAGATTCGTCCTGCCAATCGGTTGCAATATCAACATGGATGGTACCGCACTCTTCGTCGCTGTCGCCAGCATATTCATTGCCCAGATGAATGGTATCTTCATGGGCTTTGGGGAGATCATCACCGTTATGTAAGTTTCCTTTGCCTCGCAATAAGCATCTTTTACCGAATCAATTTTTATTTTATTTTATCTAATTATTTATTTGCTTGTATTTAATTATGTATTTATCGTCCCATTTTTTATTATCATCTCGTTTTGCAAAGTTTGACGTCTACTGCTGCTTCCGTCTCGTCGGCCTCGGTACCAAGCGCTGCGCTCGTCCTGCTGTTAGTTGTCCTAAGCGCTATTGATGCTCCCGTTAATGACGTTTCTCTTTTATTCGCAATCGATTGGTTTGTGTGAGTATCGGGCAGAATATTCTTTTATTTATGAAATGTCTTATCTCATAATATGTCCTATTATTACGATATGCTACGAGATAAACTAATAAAAGTTTCGTTTCTAAGAATTATAGGAAAAGAAGTATCATATATATGTTATAATTTTTTTTTTTAAATCCTTTCAACAATTACATTTTAATATTACCTGTTAATATAATTTTATATCGATTAGGGATCGGATAAGAACCACCAATAATATGCTAGGAGATTGTTACGCCGCTGCAGTTGTCGAGCAGCTCTCGAAAAAGGAATTGATGGCATTGGACGCAGCAGCCTATCAAGTAAAATACAAAATAATTATAAAATAACTTTATAATTAATTACGCTGTGTTAATAACATATTAAAACTAAAAAAAAACGTGTTTAACGTTTACTAGATAATTCATCTCATTTGTTTCTGCATGCAAAACGGTTTTTATTTTCACGCTGATATAACAATGTGCAATAATTTATTTTTAGTCGGAGACTGTGCTGCCAACCACTATCGCCAATGGATGTCTTACCGCCAACAGGGTACCTGATCCTGACACCGTTGTTGTCGAGATGCAAGATGACGCGCGGATAACGGGGATCGCCAAGTAAACACGCTTGTTGGTAGGGCTAGGCTATCACTTTGTACGATCATTATAAGATCAGTTTATTAATAACATTGCTTCGCGAATCGCTGATTTATCTGCTAATTAGCAAACGGGAGACTTGACTTGGAAAAAAATGAAGATTGTCAAAGTCAGCTAAGCTTGATAAAATTCGCACGCATTTTGCGCATACATTAAATCTCCTCCGTCATAAAAATAAACATTAAACAAATGGCAATTTTGCATTTTTTCTGTGTCAAGTTTTCAAGTTGAACGGCGAAAACTTTCTACAAATTTCTTCTTTTCTTTCAGCTTCGGAATATTACACATGTCGAGAAGTGTGACGGAAGAAACCGTTTGACTAATGGTTAGTTCGGCGAAGTAATTTAACATCGCAGAATCTCATCAGCAAATAAATTGATTCTGCCATCTGTTTGAATTGTTCAACGAGGATCAAAAACATACTTTGCGCCGAATGCGTGTTTAGTTCTTCTTTTTGTTTTAAACAATCCTTGAAGTTCATCAAGATCTTCCGTAAGGAGTTTTATAAGACAAGATAAAAGCTCTTGCGATTGCTAATGAAGACTCAAAGATATTTAATGTCAATAAGAACGGACTACATGTTACATGTACAGGTATAGCAATAAAAATTGAAATTACGATCGAGGCTTCCAAAGACTCGAAGGTAGCGCATTTTGCCAATCGCTATGACGATAATAATTACACTGGATATTGTATAGGCAAAAAGTCGGGATATAAATCGTTCAACGATTTTTAAAGGGATCAGATTGGATTAGTAAAATATTAATCCGATTGACCGACTCACATTCGAATAAATGATAGATGATGATCGTAGATTAACGATACACCCCTAATAAACCCCGCAGATGATCGATGTTAAAGATCGTTTCTACGATCAATTATATAAACAGCATGTCGAATGTGGTGCCTTATTTTGCGCCAAGCAGGCAGGCGCGACGAAAGTAAAATGTCTTGCCTGAGTTTTTTTTTCTTTTTCGGATATACCCTCGCGTGATATACGTATCGCGTGTAAAATGCCGATTCCAATATATCTGACGCTTCTCGATGTGACTTAGAACATCCTAGCTCCGAAATCTGAAGATTGCAGAGCATGACTGTCATCAGTGACGCGACGAATATAGCTTTCTATCGGAAAGAAATTTTTTACGATGTTTGGGAAGGGAGCTTGATGTGATAACTGTTAAGTAGCTATGTGCATACTACACATATCTAGGATAAAATAAATAATGTTTTAATTACCCTATAATGTTATTACTAGAATACAGTTATTACTAGGCTACATTTTAAAGACCGCTCGCTTCGCGTATTGCGTATCGATTACGTCACTGATCACAATCCAAATTAATGAGAGGAAAAATTAAAAAAATTATACGGTAACAATATACGTGTTCAGCAGAGATTAATATAAACTCCACGCTGAAAATACAGCAAAGACTTATAAGCGAGTAAAACTTTAAATAGATTTTAAAAGCCATATCGATCTAACTATCGGACCATTAATTGAAACTGATGTATAGAACTTTCCTATGTGTTCTGCTTTTGAAAAACGAATGTTTTTGCGAAAGAGTGCTTATCGAGATAGAAATTGAAACCTTGGACGTGTATTTTGTTAAAATTGGAGATAACATTTTATACTAGTTTCAGAACTATTTCAAATTTTCAAAATAAATTTCTCTTTTTCATATGGGAACAAAAAGTATTTGAAACTTTCAATAATGTTTATATTAATTGTAATTACGTCCAAGATTCTATCTCGTCGCACTCTTCTTCAATTAGTGCTCCCTGCCGTAGAAGAACATACCTTCCAATATGATGTTGTCCAGATCGTAGATTAGAATAAACAAGTTCGTGTTTTTCGATCGTATGTGGAAGATTATACTAATTCTTCTATGAATGACAAAGAGAACGGAATATTTAAATAGCGCAGCTCATTGTCGGGCGCTCACAAGACTGGATATACAATATGATAATACCATTTTGTTAGACGTAATAATGGGTAAACGATTCCTATACATGGTTTCGCTAATACTAGGCACTAGATAGGTAGGTCGATACGTGTTTCATCGTAGAGACTGTTTAAATGTACAAACTGTTTGAGAAGATAGAGAATACGTAGTATTATCTTTAGCAATTATTACTTATGCATCCATATAAATTGCAATACATTATTTACATTCTTTTGGGAGTTAATTTATTCGGAATAAATATTATTTCACGCGCGCCTTTTACGGAAATTAATTTCTATTGTTGAAAATGAATCAACCGAAAAGTAAATGCAAAACTGGATTCTTTTATTTTGAATACTTAAAGCAAGTATTAATAAAAATTATTTAAAAATTATAAATTGTAAATGGTAATTTGTATTTTGCTGTAAAACATCGAAATGGCATCGAAATAGAGTATGAAAAGAAATTAGGGAGGAAACTATGGAACATAAACTATGGAACAATTTATAATTAAAAGTAGAAAAGCTTACTACTTATAATTGATAATTATTTTTTAAATTTAATTACAAATCAATTTTGTTAATTATAATTTTTCTATTTTGTTAAAAATATTATTTTAAGATATATCGGGTGCTCCTGTTACTCGGCACGTTTTATGCTCAAGCATTGAAAAAGTGGGATATAATAGCTGCGAGAGTAAAACGAGTGGAGAAAACATGGAATAAACTTATCAAAATAATCCGAAGAATACGTGTATACTTGTAAGGCTCAACGTGTTGTATAACAAAAAGCAGATTTATACGTGGAAACATTTGTGTCTTCTTTATTAGAAATCCCTGTCGCTTTCCTTCTTTCCAATTTCTTATTAGATAATGTGTTTTGCATGTCAAATTAAAAATAATAATCAAATTAATTTTATTCGATTGAGATGAATATCGGAATATGATAAAAAAATACAACTTCCTAAAAAATTCATTTATTTAAGGCCCACATCGCATTAAGGGCCTCAGCTTGGAAGTCTTTGTACAGAGAA